TTTCCAAAAAAATTAAGTAATAAAAAATACAACAAACTAATACATGTTCATTCTGCGACGATATAGCTAACTTGAAACATATGCTCCGGCGTTGCCCTGCGTTACGCTGTGGGGAAGTCATCCCACCGTCCAAATTTGAGGGTGCTATGTATACAAGCTCCGGACTCTGACGTCAGTTGTGGGATGTCCGCCGGGCCAGCGACGCAGCAGAGAGACTTGGTCTTTCTGTTCCGACGTGGGAGTGACCCGCAACGTCCCAAAGCGCATTCTGAAGGACCTAATAAAGTTCATCCATCCATCCAACCAAGGAAAAATTGAGAAGCATCGCCGGGTGACGACGGCCTTTTCACGATAGGTTCGTGAATTCGCGATCATGTTAACAACGACGCAAGCTATGTACCATAGATATCTTCCTGCGTAGCCCAAAAATAAATAATGTAGAAATAGCTCACTTCAACCTTCTGTAATTCTGGGCAACTTGAGAGTTTGAAAAAAAAAAAATAGAGAAACGCTATGCTTTTCAAGCTCACTCGTTTTTGGGGGCGCGATGTGTGCTTCTGTGAAAATCATAGCTTATTCAGATTTACAGCACTGATAGACACTTACGCGAATAATTATCCCCTGCATTTTCAATTGCCTATAGTAACTTTGGAAGTATTGAATTTCGTTGCTCGAGGCGTCAAAAACTACTGGTAAATTGAAAAAATCTATATAAGAACCCACTCTCAATTAATCTTGCTTATGATTATTTAACTTGCACTCAGAGGACTGCATTATTATATTGTGGAAAAAACATATTGCATCATTTGGTCAGGGACGAAACGGTATTGTGAAGCTGCTTCGTATTGTCTGCTCTCCCGTGCCGCTATACGTATAGTTGACAATGAGTTGCGTTATTATTGTGTTGTAGAAGTGTGAGTATCTGTATTCAGAGTTGAAATGTTGTATTCTCCCCCCCCCCCCCCCCATGCAATGCAATTGGGTGCTGTGGGTACTATGACAAATAAATAAATAAATAAATAAATAAATAAATAAATAAATAAATAAATAAATAAATAAATAAATAAAAACTTACAAATTTTCAAACATTGCCTTTTCAGTGCGTGCTCACAACGCGTAAAAGAGGCGTCTTTTGGCAAGAAAATAGAATAACGCGCTCTTTTTTCTTTCTTCTCTGGTTTTATTCTTTCTCTTCTGACGCAAGAAGATATCTGTGGCGTATAATAACTTGCGTCGCTGTTAGCATGATCGCGAATTCACGAAAGCGCACTTTTCGTGAAATGACATTGTCGTTACACGGCGACGCATCTCAATTTTTCCTTGTTTCAAAAAAAATTATTTGAGAAGAAAATGTGATTTCGCGCTATTTGCGCATACGGGCATAATATACAATAATACGAGGAAAATCGGAGATATATCAAGTAAAGCACTTTTTTTTTTTATCTTTCGTCGAATCGACCCGGTAGTTTTGCACATACGCTGCATACAACACTATGTTTTTTTTTAATCTTTTGTTACTGCTGTCATCGCATCCGCTCCGCACCTGAGGCCGCGCTATATCGCGCTGTTACGAAATTCGACCCATTGTATACTTGAATGTCCACGCATTATGCGGAGATATGGGTTCCTGTAACAATGAGGGCACGCACTGCATCATCGCAGTATTATAGTCTGTGCGGGTGGGATGCCGCACTCACCGATGGTTTTCATGGTGAATACAATTACCTCGGTGTGCTTAAAATAAATTTTAAACAGTACACACGAGACATGTGCGAGACAAGTTTTCGAATCCTTCGGCATTGGTTTGGAAAATGCATATACGTATACGCTAAAACGCACATCAGGAAGCCATTGCGCAGAAAGAAGCAGGGAGAGCTTCGTTCCACCCAAAGTTGGCCAGTTTTGGTGGATATTTTTTTTTAATGGCAGCGTGTCCGTTCGCTAACTATATAGTGCGAGTCCCCGTTCTTTTTGTGCGCAGTGGTTCAACCGTGCAGCTTCGTCGTCCGTAAGATTTACCAACGCGCGATGAATGCACATAATTACAAAGTTTGTCATCTTCCGCAAACATTAACGATCGTGAACCATGCTGCTGACTCATCTCCGCTTGTCTCCAGAACACGCAGAGGAGAAACATTCCGATACAATACTAGAAGTGCACGGCATCTCCTCTTCAAAGGCGGATGCACACGATCCTCCACCAATGGGCGCGCACTCCGGACTGACGTCATGAGCCAGAGGGCCGGTGACCCCGCCTTCGAAGAACATTGCAGAGTGCACGAGCGGGACTATTTCTTTAGCCGCGGAGGCGACTGGTTGCTGCGCATCGGTAATGGCTTCTTCCGGCACCGTACGGCACGCCGTCTGCTGTTTGTATATACTGTGTAGAGACGTACAGATAGTCATACACACGGAGATATATCATACAAAACGATGCCCGAAACCAATTGACTGTCATACATCCGCTGCCTAGAATGATGAGGTTTCAAAACTTTCACGTGACAATGCGCTAGCACGTTTTGTTGGACTGCCACTTCGCTATAACACGGTCAGTTTTAGAAAGTGCACATGTGTGCACGTGTGCGTGCGTGCGCGCGCGCTTGTGTATTGCGGTGTGTGTGTGTATTGCGGTGTGTGTGTGTGTACTGCGATATGTGTGTATTGCAGAGAGAGAAAGAGAGAGAGAGAGAGAGAGTGTGTGTGTGTGTGTGTGTGTGTGTGTGCGTGTGTGTGTAGATGCTATGTTCTAGGGTGCGCGTTAGTGAGATCGCGATCCTGCATGCGTAAGCGTCATCGCGCCAGATGAACAGTGTTGACGCTGCTGCCCATGATTCACACACAAACGTGGATTCAAACTCGGTGGAAAAAGAAAGGACCCAAACGCACACACAAACGCAGGTTGCTATTGTTACCGCGCACACGATTAAAAAAATTCCGCCATATCCACGAAGTGAATGATGATGAGTGGGCGAAGCTCCGGAGGTAAACCTGGTAAACCATGAATCCTCTGTACATTTTGCCCACTCGATTTTATTACATCGCTCCCCCTAGCGTACGTCGCCGCACTAAATCGAACGATTGCCTTCAACCAATGACACGCGCCATATGTGACATCATTCCTATTTTATAAGATCTCGCGTCTTTCATCAACTACAAGTACCGCTTTCTAGTTTATAACATCTTGCATCTTTTCATCATCAGCTACAAGTACCACCATCTAGTAAACACTACAAGAACTAAACGAGAGGTGGCTACATACAGGAGACGGTACCGCCACCTAGTGAACACTGCAAGAACTAAACTAGAGGTGGCTACATACAGGGGACCGTACCGCCATCTAGTGAACACTGCAAGAACTAAACTAGAGGTGGCTACATACAGGCTACAGGGGACGCACAGCCCACGCCCTAAGGAGCTTCGCCCCTAAAAAAATGGGCATCAGAGAAAAAGAATACAAAACACGGGGCAGCTATACACCTTTTCACAGGAAGGAAAAAAAAAAAACACCGCCATGATGGGCTGTGCGCGGGAGTACAAAGACTAAGGGCGCAGCGTTGTCAGTGCATTTTCGAGGGGACGCGCCAATTTGCACAGCCCAAGGAGGGCTATGGCGGCGCCCAGGGAGGCGTTTATGAAAAGGTGAATAGGTACATGGTCCCGCCGATATGTGAGGTCTTTTTACCATAGAAACACCGCAGCACCGCGCACATGCATACGGCGTCCGCGGACACTTAGACGCAATTCAAATGAAAAACGTGCGCTTCTACAACAGGAAAAGCCACACTCCGTCGTTGCTGTATAGAGACGAGGTGTACATCTACGACAAACGCGCGTATCTCCCGCGCTGTTACTAATTAACGCGGAAGACACGCATACAAGCGTCTCAAGCACTACACGCGAACGCGCGCAGAAGAGATTAAATAACGAAATCGGGAAAGAGACGCGAGCGCGGCTCGCGCCTAACTTTAGCTCGCGCAGCGTAAGGGCCAAACCTCATAAGCGCGAAAATGCACGCGACAGCGACGAGCGACGCTATGAGCGACGAAACAGGGCGTTCGCGCGACGTGTCGCGTGCTCGTTTTCGCGCGATCGCTCGGTTCTCCCGATGTGGAAACCGTCGCTCATCGCCCGGAAGTGCTGGGCTCAAGCAGCCAATAGCGAAAAACCGGAAAAGACGAAGACTACATAGGTGCACGTGACCCTGCCCGAGTCACGTATGCGCAACAAGAAATAACGCAATGTTTATTACGCATGTGCATATAAAAAAGTGCTGCAAGGCAATAATAAACACTTTCCGTTTCATTACACAACGATATATCTTATTTTTAAATTGAATACCGCTGGCTACGCGGCTTTCTTGGTGGGAGTAGACGGCCTCATGCCAGCAACAGTGGAATTCGCTCGCCGAAGCCGTCGCGTGAATGAGGTTTGCCTGCGCTAGCGACTGATCGCGCGAAGACGATCTACGTCGCGTCGCTCGTCGCTGTCGCGTGCATTTTCGCGCTTATGAGGTTTGGCCTTAACTCAGTCGAATTTGAGATGTTAAAAATTAAACTGCGCGGGCTAAATTTGGATACGGACGCCGAATGACGTTCCGCGGAGTTAACGGCACTCGTGTCGCGTTCTTTGAATTTTGTCGGTAAGAGAGAGGGGAAAAAAACTTCATTATATCTACATTACAGGGAGTAAGTGGGATGGCACAAACACTATAGGTGGGCTCGCAGAAACGAATCAAACGAGCCCGAATTACATTCCTCCATGCAGTCGTCACACCCCATGCGGACACGCTCGCACAAACGGAAACAGAGGCCGAAAGAAGCGAACAATACGGACACTAAACAACACCGCTGTCGAAAACGGGTGATGAAGCGATATCCGCGAACCTGTGCAATGTAAACATGCTGTACGTCGCAAGTATTTCGCGAACGAGATGAGGGCTGCGATATCAGTGGCAGATTTGGAGGGGGGCGGGGGCGATAGGGATAAGAATTGTCACTCGCCTTGTCTCCTCCTCCTCCGGCCGCATCCGATGTCCTGTTGGCCGGCCGGGAGGACACGTCACCATCCTTGATTTTCATCGCGGGGCCGCGCTAGGACGACGCCAGCCCGAATCCTGCGAAAGACGAGGGCGACGCCACATGTTGATACACATCGAGGAGTATATATAAACAAACATCAAAGTTTTAACTTGTAATGGCTGGTACGACATTGTAATGATGTCACGCTGAGCAAAGGCACGATGGGCTACATCATGCCTTAGCTTGTCCATCGTACCTTCGCTATAGCCCATCGTAGCTTGTCCATATGGGGTCAGGACAAGTATAGAGCAACACGACTTGTCCTTATGACTTGTTGCACTGAGTGAAGGTACGAATGACTGAAAACAAAGCGAACAGGGCAAGTAATGCGCAGTGCTACTTGTGTGACATAGTTGTTTTCTACATCAAGCTTTTCCTCAACGTCACCACATTAGAAGATATACGCGAGCACAGGTGAGTGTGAATCTCTTGTATGTGAACAGAGACACAGCAAGCAGCTGTATACTAATTCCCATCACGTCTGTCTAAGCTATGGATAAAATCGCCGAATGATACATTCAATAAGTTTAAAGAAATAGTGCTGCAGTGGAAGCTCCCGCAAAGCTCTGCCAGCAGTAGTGAAGCCGGGTTTTGACCTACAAAGGTATCAGAAACATGCTATTTTCTGGTGGTGCCCACTTAGACATCATGTACTTTTTATTTGTTAGTATAAAGGCTACTTTAATTATAGATTAAAAGATAGTTGTTATAGTTGTTTCCGAAGAAATAATCCACAGAGACTGGTATCGGTGACTTAATCTCCAATAAATTTTGCCTTAAATTCAAGGCTTACTAGAGAAAACTACTAACAAAAATGACGCACTTTGAGCACTATGTGACGCAAAAAGGTCGTCACGTTAAACTCGTTGGGCGTGCGAGGAAAACTCTTCTTCTCAATCGCCGAACGCCAACAGCCCATCATGCCCCTAGTAAGATGGCTGCCGCAGCCGCCATCTTACTGTTGGCACGGCTTCACTCGTGGTACAGTGCCTAAAAATATACTTTCTAGGCACTATACTCGTGGCAAGAATTTCCACTCCAACAATTTTTTAGACCTCCTTGGATACATCCCACGATATATGCAACTTACATACGAGACGCAAGCTAAGAAGAAGAAATGAGACATTCCTACGTGTGCACTTGCCTTATATTGTAGGAAAACAAACAAACAAACAAGCAGATTCCTACGTTGTTTTTATTTTGCGTATGGATATTCGATACTGAAAAAGCAATACTAAATTATATAATCAATTCTTAGCCTATTCCCTCTGAATGGGTATGAGCCATGTTTGAGGCATTATCATAACAATCTTCACAAGTGAACATGACACTGATATTTACAACTATGGTTTTCGGGTAAGTTTGGGCTTCTCTACATGAAATATTCAATTGATAAAGCGTTTCCAGTTACGCTCATTTCTGACAGGTAATTAAACAGTGACTATAAAAAACCAGTCGTTGTTTCGAAGGGCCATGCACTGGACCCAACTGATATGCTACGGAACATTAAAACAGATTGTTCGAAATCGTGTTTTTTTTGTAACTTTAAAAAAAAAACATCACGGGAGACACGGAAAATTCGAGTAATATGTGCTCCACTGTCTCTTAGCTGCCGTATAGTTCGTTCTCACAGTAGCCTGTGGGGATCGGCGGTGTATACGCCCTATGCGGTAAAAATAACCGTTCGTAAATGCCACGTTCAGTCGAAGACGATTGTGTACAGTGTCACGTGTGTTCGGGAAACGTTAGGTCTCACTTCTGTACGATTCGGCGTGTGCGTGTGAACCGGCTAACAACAGTGGGCACGTGACAAGAGTAAAACAAACACTCGATGGCCACGGTCTCTCATTCTTTAGCAGCGTGGAAAACTGGGTCCCGTTCGTCACAGAGACGACGTAATTTCTCAGAGTCGATACAAGAAGGGGGGTGGAGGGAGATTCCCATATGGCCCCTGCATTCTACCTCGTGAACAGTGATGACGTCACGAGAGTTAGTAAAATCGCTGACGTCACAGCTGCAGGAAGCAGCTCGACCAGGCTCGTCGAAGCCACAAAGAGGTAACTAAAAACGCACACGCAAACAAAAACGCGCACGATACGTGGGGAAGTCAGGCCCACCACGGTCGGAGAAGACCTTCGCCATTGACCCCGTTACAGGCTCTTCGTTCACGCAGAGCACGTGCCCGACGCAAGTGCCCCCGCCAACACTCCACTGTATACGCTCGGGGCTTTAAAGCAATAAACTTTAAAAAGAAAGACAGGCACAAATACACACACGCACAGCAGGGGCACAATCGGCTCCTTTTCAACGAAGGATGAGTCGAACGTCACGGCTTGTGAGTGCCAAACTTTCCGCTGCTGTTTTCGAGGGCTGTTTTAAAGGAGGGCCATCTGCTAACAGGCTACCACGGGGTTGGACGAAAAAAAAAATAACTGAAGAAAAACAAATCGACATACCAGTTTTATAGTAATCAAGACTTTTTACAAGGGAAAACTACAACATGATTAGGATAATAATAATTGATGCGCTTTGACGTCACAGAAACACGATACGATCAAGAGACATATCATCGGATTAATTATGTCGCGATTAATCATGCTCACCTTCGGATTTTTTATGCACGGATTAGTTATGTCCGAAGGACTTCGGGTAAATTATGGCCACTTGAGGTTTTTTGATGAGAACTTTAACCCTGTAATTCCCAGAACCAGTTATGCTTTCAGAAAAACTGCGAGAAAACACAGACTGGTTTTACTTTTCTTGTACAGTTCATTTTAAGAAATATATGAATGAAATTTAGTTTGAGAGATAACCTAATTAGTATTAATTGGAAATAATTATTTACTGTCGTATGATATGTAACACACTGTACTTTTTTCATAACATCTGAAATCTGCAATAGCTGCTTATAGTGAAACCTATAGTAGCTTTTAGTAACATTATTGAGGTATCATATTCAATGTATGAAATATGATACAGTGGGCATTACAGGGTTAAAGTGGCACTGCAATACTTTTCAGCATAGTCTTTCCAAGCAGCCAATCGGTAGCCGAGGATCCTGCGAACATGCGAGCCAAACGTTATGGCGCATCACGCGGCAAAGAATGTGTAACTGAGTTTCGAACTCAGCAAGAAACTGCTCGCTTTCGTCTTGACAAATGATGCCACATCAGTAAAGCTTCAGTTTGGGCAAGTTGGTGCATTCTTTAAAAAGTATATTTGAAAGAAATACGTATTTGAAAATTTAAAAAAAGATAAAAAGGTGGGTGAGCAGGAGTCAAACCCGCTACCTCAACACATCACACATCCTGAGTTTGACACGCTGCCCACTACACCACACCTGAAAGACGAGAGTGGATGTTTTTAAGGGGCGAAGCTCCTTAGGGCGTGGGCTGTGCGTCCCCTGTAGGCTGTATGTAGCCACCTCTAGTTTAGTTCTTGCAGTGTTCACTAGATGGCGGTACCGTCCCCCGTATGTAGCCACCTCTAGTTTAGTTCTTGCAGTGTTCACTAGATGGCGGTACCGTCCCCTGTATGCAGCCACCTCTAGTTTAGTTCTTGCAGTGTTCACTAGATGGCGGTACCGTCTCCTGTATGTAGCCACCTCCCGTTTAGTTCTTGTAGTGTTTACTAGATGGTGGTGCTTATAGCTGATGATGAAAAGATGCAAGATGTTATAAACTAGAAAGCGGTACTTGTAGTTGATGAAAGACGCGAGATTTTATAAAATAGGAATGATGTCACATATGGCGCGTGTCATTGGTTGAAGGCAATCGTTCGATTTAGTGCGGCGACGTACGCTAGGGGGAGCGATGTAATAAAATCGAGTGGGCAAAATGTACAGAGGATTCATGGTTTACCAGGTTTACCTCCGGAGCTTCGCCCACTCATCATCATTCACTTCGTGGATATGGCGGCACTTTTTTATCTTAAACCTAATTCAGGCGTCCAATATTTTGATGTTGTCGCTACCAGGTGATTGTTAACTTACTTTTTACGGGTAGCCTGATGATTAGAATACCACCACATTCGCTAAATTCTACGCTAGACGTCTCGCGATTCTAATATGAAGTCTTATACATGTTCCCAGTGTGCGGTAGAGACTGTCCAGCGTGACCAGTGCCTCCCAGGGCGGTTTAAGACACTGGGCTACGCTGTATGCAGTGTGACCCGGTGCGTTTCAGCGCACCGTAGGCGACACTGGCCACACAGTACAGTGTGTCCCACTGGCTCCCAGCGCGCTGTAGTACACTGGGAGACACTGAAAACGCTGCTTTTTTATTATTTTTTTTTCGATTGGGTACACGCGGGAATTCAATCGTAAAGCCCAAAGTTGGCCCTCTTACAGTAACAAAAAGCCTCCCGCATCTTTCCGCGGGGGTATCGCGTCACGGCCAGACTAGAAGAGCGGCACGCGCGCACTCTCGCGCGTGAATGTTGCATAATCGGGTACGATTTGGGAACGCTGAATTGTTGTTTCGTCTGTATTGTTCCTATTTATTGAATGAAGGAGATGCGTTGCCTTCGACGATGACGATGAAAAACATTTATTATAAAAGAGAGAGGTACGGGGCCAAAGCATTACCCCGCTACATGGTCGGCGTCCTTAGTCCGGGACACCGCATGACGAGGCCCCTACTCGCGCCCGTATCACCAGAGCCCGTTGAGACTCTAGTGATGAGCAGTTGAAGTAAAGCTTGTTTAAAAGTTTGCCTTCGACGAGTGGTGGGACGCTGATGTGCGATCCAGTGTACGTGCCCGTACATATACGGGGCGTCTATATAGTGAACGGTTGTGCAGCGCGAGCAGTCGGTTTTTATTGGCAGACGCTGTCTGCGTCTGCTTTGTGAGGCGAGAGAGGGGGCGGGGGAGCAGACGGTTGGCACGACGATAGTTATAGCGCGAGAACAAAACGACGACACAGAGATATCTGTGTCGTCGTTTTGTTCTCGCGCTATAACTATCGTCGTGCCATACCAACCAGCCCAAGCTGCCACACTTCTAGGTTGGCACGAGGCGCAATCTTGCGGCACGA